CACACCCCAAGCCACCTTTAAACCCCAGTTTTGAAGCCATCTTATGGCATCTTTCATAGTCCACGACCGGTCGTGGATGAAAGATGCCTATGACTGAAATTGAAATCATGGCCTCGATGCACGCCACGCCCACTGTGGGCGGGGCTCCGCCAAGTTGGTGTGTGCTTTATACTGGATATGGCCCACCCATCCCACGCTTGACCCGGCATCTCTAGGCAGATCTAAAGGAGCTAAGGAATTTCGTAACAGACATATAGACGACAGACAGACAGACAGACTAAGCGCTTTATAGTAAGTAGGATAATATCAGCTCAGCGTTTTTCAAGAACCGCTGCAGCAACTTGAGTTATACAGGATGCAGAAGCAAGAATGGGGTGATATCACTGATCAGTTGGGATAAGCACGCTAACGCATGCATTACATTTCCACGACAGATCATCTACGGTGGAGTCATTCAGCGGAATGCTCAATTACCAGAATTTGATAGTTTCCCCAGATTTGAACGCTTAACCGCTTTGAGTGCATAACGCTCGATATATTTTACTCGGTAGAATTGTTAGTGGTTGATCACAGCAACGTCCACCTCAGAGCAGTGTCTCTCACTGCGGCGTTTCGAGCGAGATTTTGAATTTTTGATCCTAGCCCCGCCCACGCTTGTCAAACTCGTGTCGAGTTAGCAATTTGACGACATCCGTTATGTAATCTCCAGCTACATTTTCACGCTTTCTAGAACGTTTTCGAACAAAGTTATAAACCTCCATCCTTAGCCCCGCCCACCTCACTAACTTTAAGAACTAGACCACATTTCTTCATTTCTCCATGATTTTAGGACGTTACTGAACAAAAATACGATTGTTGGTGTGGTAGGCGGAGCATCAATATATTTACGTGTGCCCAGTGCCCTTCAGTACACTTGTTGACCCATCCCTCATATTCACCAATTTTTTCCCGGTGTATGGGCTGTTAACAGAACTAGTCCAGGCATTTCACTCAAGACCCCGCCCACTGTCGTGCACGACCCGCCCGCTGTAAGCAGAGCTGCACTGAGCTCGCATGTGCTCTGCTGGTCTTGTCTTCTAGCCAAGCCAACCCAAACTTGACCCAACTTAGGCAGGTAATGCTTCATTTCCTCGCAAAGAACAAAAACAAACAAATAAACACTGAAACAACAAATGCAGACAGACAGACGCGAGCGCGTTCTATGTAGAAAAGTTACCAGCATTATCAAAATTTGTGTTATTATCATGTAGTGATAATGGTTGCAAACCGGTTTTAATAATTTTCTCTTTTTCCTTTTTTCTAGTTTTCGCTTTCTGTAAAGCTTCCAACACATACACAATAATAACAAGCTTTCGAATATTTGAAAGAGCAGTGAAAGTGGGGGGAGGGGGTGGTGGGGGGGGGGCAATGTATCAGCGACATTCGTGGACTCAGGGATCGAGGGTTTGATTAAATAAATAAAATCACTGGCATACATGCGTTTTTTCAAGCGGAAGGTAGAAAACTAGGAAGGGGAAAATGATGGCATCACGAATGCAGAGGGCAACTCGGAACTGGGATGTATATAGGAGAAAGTGGTCTGCAGTAAGAATATTGTTGTCGTGGATGTGCGCTGTATGACGAATAAAGTTAAGGTGATGCTGGCAACGTCATCGTCGGAATATATCGCAGCAATCCACTGCTCCCTTTGCACTACACTGCTCTTTCATTGCACGCCTTTTAAGGAGTCCGTATCTAGGTCACGCGGTGCAATCCGAGGTGACGAATAAAGTGTAAATTGAGGATCAAGAGCTCTCTGCCGAGAGGTGAGTCGATTTATTCCTCTACGTCTTCTTTCGGGCGTATCTATGCAAACCTACCTGTGTGATAGGCTTGCGGATGCGCATAGTTCTCTGCATGTCAGCCCAACCAAAAGCCTGTTTCCAAGTTGCGATTCTGGTTTGCTCAAAAGAACCTCGCTTCAGGATAGCATCTCTACAAACCCTGCCCAGCTTCAAAAGTCTAGTAAGCTACGCATCTAGATGCTGAACTTAGTAATGGATCATTGCTTTTAACATGAAGGCACACGGTTACGCATCGTTGGGACTACGAGTGAGATGTCTCTAAGCTCTGGGAGTATAATAGAAACCTTCACCAAGAAGTACCAAGACCGCTTACAATCGATCCACGAACTCTTGCATCTGATCAGTTTTATCGAAGAGTTGACGATGCAAGGTAGGGTGATCAACTTCTATGATTGAACCTTGAACCTTGAAAATTATTTGGTATGGACTGCCCGACAACTCGAATCGAGCATTTGCAACTGAGCAGTTGTTGCTCAAACGGTTCCTCGCTTCGCCCCTGACAATAT